AATATAAAACTCAACAATTACTGAACCTAACTGAAAATATTACAACAACTGACAAATCACTATGGACTACAACCAAAAAACTTCTGAAGTTTAAAGACTTTAATCACCCACTTCTTACTGAATCCCAAACCTGGTCCAAATCCGACGAAGAAAAAGCCCAGTTATTCGGTCAACATCTGTTCCAAATTTTCAACCCACATCCTGATATCCTTAATCCAACCCACATCGAATGTATTGAATCAGAACAGGATACTCCTCTCCAAATGTCCCTTCCACCTAAAGCATTTCATCCCACAGAAATATCCAACATCATTCAAAGATTACCCTCCTGCAAAGCTCCTGAACATGACCTAATAACATTCCAGATCTTGAAACTTCTTCCTCGAAAAGCCATCCTATTCCTTACTTTCATATATAATGCTGTACTCCGATCCACATATTTCCCTGATCCTTGGAAAATATCTATTGTCAAAATGATCCACAAACCCAAAAAGCCACCAGAATATCCATCCTCTTACCGTCCCATCTCTCTGTTACCCATCATGGGAAAAATGCTGGAAAAACTAATCTTAAAATGCCTGTACCCAATCCTAAATTCTAATCACATAATCCCAGATCACCAATTTGGATTCCGCTCCTCCCATTCCACTATACAACAATGCCGTCGTGTGGTAGACGTAGTATCCTCTGCATTGGAGCGCGGTATGTACTGTACGGGAGCCTTTCTCGATGTTGAACAGGCGTTTGATAGAGTTTGGCACCCGGGACTGCTGTACAAACTCCGAAAATTCCTACCATCTACCTACTTCCTCATTATCCGTTCCTACCTTACTGATAGATACTTTAAAGTAAATCACAACAACGTCTAACTTGGAATCCTCATACCAGACTGAAACGACAAGAAACAGCTCGACGTTTCCGACTACTTGAACACTTACTAGACAAACACTCTAACCTTCCAATCAATTATAAAAGACTGATTTACATGACTATAATAAGGCCTATTTGGACATACGAAGTTGAGCTATGGGGCTCCACCAAACCTTCAAATTCCTCTCGCATACAATACTTACAATCCAAAATCCTTCGTAAAATCCTCAATGCTCCTTACTTTGTTACAAATAAAATTATCCATAATGACCTTAATGCTCCTTATGTATCAGATTTGGCCCAATCCAGATATCTGACTTTCCATAATAAACTTTATAACCATCCCAACCCTCTTGTCTCTAACCTTGCTTCCTATTCGATTCCTGATAACCCTCCAAGGCGTCTGAAAATATAGACTATATAATAGACTATATTAGAAAATATAGGATCTTCTAATATAGACATATTATTAGAGTGCTACCAATGGGTAGTTTCTCAACATGTGTTCCATGTCTTTATACCAATGTGCGAATTTACCAGATGTATTTTTTGTATACAGTTGTAAATATCATATAAATAAATAATAATAAAAAAAAAAAAAACTTACACTAAAGTACCTTTAATTTTTTTTATTTGAAACAATTAATAATTTCACATCAATCTCTAATACAAAAGATAATTAAATATAAAATATGAAAGAATTTGATAATTAAGTAAAGCAGAAGTAAGAGATAGTTGTAATTGAGGATCCAAAGGAGCTTTCCCGGAGGAGCTTTAATAAAGGAGGAGGAGGCTATACACAATATTAAGATGCTTGAAATTATAATAGAACAATAACAAAAAACAAAAGTGTATATATCTAGAATTAAATAAAATTTAATATGAAACAGATGTAATAGACATTTTTCATTAAATAAGTAAATAAATACATAAATTAAAACTCTCGGGCTAGCCATGCACGTGGTGGTGAATGATTCCCAGGGAGTCGAGGACTATATTTTCAGCCAACCTCGCTACGTCCTTAATGTCGACACTTAGTTCATCGAGGAAGCTCCTTGTTCTTTTTGGGATAGTTCCCAAACCAGAGGCCTCTCACGGTGAACTCTGTCTCTCTCCGAAGGTCTTACGGAATTTATCTTTTAGGAGAGGGATACATTTATCGTACGTGTTATTCTTTTCCCTTTCCACTTCACTCGCCTGATCGAGGTCATTGCTCTCAAAGCGGACAGTTGGATCCAAGATCAGCGCTGTCCTTCCTGTCTTGGAAAATGCGACGATATCCGCTTATCTCGTAGAGCCTTCACTATTGATGCAATATACCTCGTCAAAGCAGGTGAATTTCCTTTCCCTAAGGAGCCTCATAACACGTCGTCACCACCGTACAACACACAATAACACAACTCCCTGAGTTGTTGGGGCATTTTCCCAGCACATGGGCTGGTGTTTCAGACTCTCTGGCGCATTTACGGCAGAGGGACCCAACTTCTCTGACCTGTCCGCTGACACCTGGGACTCCACGCAGGGGTGCATAATTACTGTTTAGTTTTAGAGCATTCGACCATTCAGACCCAGAAAGTACTTGCTTTTCGAAGATGTATCTAGTCGCTTTCGCGGTCTCTTTAAAATAGAGGACACCAATACCCTGCCACCTGCAATTGGCTCATTCCTCAAATGCTTTTTCTCGTAGCGACTGCCGTAGAGCTCTCACATTTCGATGACCCTGATCAACCTCCAATCTCTTGGCACATTCAGCAACTTCAGCCGAATAATCGAATGTAGACTGAAAAAGGGCATCTGGTACATTGGTCAGTCGCTGAGCAATGGACCACTGTTGAAGAGGAGCCTCCCATTGGCAGCGAATTAATCCCAATCCTCGGTATCTCCTGGGGCCATACAACATCGCCGTGGAAGTATTCACAGAGAGTCAAATAATGGCCTTTACGTTCCTGTGAATCATAGTGTTGATGCTGTCCAATATGGAAGATTTGTGAGGGGCGCAGTTTGGGAAGGATAAGTAAGACCCAGGAGCAGAAAAAAATATTACTAAAATCTATACAAAACGAAAAAAGAAAAAAAAAAAAAAAAAAAAACGAAGTCAGACCATTATTAGCCAAGGTACAGCTTATTGAAATTTGTAAACATGTTGGTTCGAAACATGAATTTTTTTTCATAATCTCACCTTCATAAATTAGTTGTTTATTATATATATTGTAATGTGTTCCTTGTACTGTATCAGATACATTTTAAGGTCTTGCTGAGCATTCCTCAATTCTGTTTAATCTTTATTAACATGAATGAAATTTTAAATTAATTTTCATTTCCTTTGTCGATTGTAATTACCGATGAGATAAGAATTGATTTCTATATCTTATGATACGTTTCATTATTTTATTTTATTATTAATTTGTCAATTGAACACTGACCAATATACTGTGTGAATTATTCACACTGATCAACAAGTATAAACATTAAAATACACACTCCTTGTTGTACCTCTTTAGTGTGAAAGAAATCGCTCTGAGGTAGTTATTATTTTGCATTATTGTTTACAACAGTTAATTTGAGCCATGATTAATAAGCTAATATATAATTTTCATTTGAACTGATAATTATTGTGATATATTATGTCACAAATAAGACCCTACACCATGACCTTAACATCCCATTTGTCCTCGACATCATCCCATTCAGATTCTCAAACTTTCACCAGAACCTTATCCATCATCCAAATCCTCTAGCTCAATCCCTATCCAGCTCCCACCATCCCTACAATCCCCCTCGAAGGTTAAAACGGCAGTGGCCGCGAGATCTATTGTAAATATGCTTCTGGAGTCCTGGCAATGGCCAGCTTCTCCAATCGAGTCCTGAGCATCTGTGGCTCTAGTGCCCTCCTTCAGCCTCCACTGGCTTTTAATACTAGTGATGCGGCTGGAAAAGTGGCACTGGGATCTCTGGAGTCCTGCTTTGCTTTCCACATGTGGGGAGAAAAGCCTGGCTCGGAGATTCCTGGGCGAATGTATATATTGTATATAGGTATGAATGTGTTTAGAAGTTGTTATTTTATTTTGTTTGTTTATTTATTTTTTTTTAATTTTATTTATTTTTTTTTTTTTTCCTATTGATTACTTTTTTTTCTTCTTTTTTTTTTTTATAAGTATTATTTATTTACTTCTTATATTTATAGTTACTTCTGTATTACTTGTATATACTGTATGAATGAGAACTTCTAGCCTTAATACTTATAGCCCTCCAACAGTGGCTGATTGTATTATTATTCAATAAAAAAAAAAAAAAAAAAAAAATATTATTGTGATTATTATTTTCTGCAGACCAATAATTTATTTTACAGCTTTTATGATTTGTAAAGACAATAAAAGTGATAAATTTTCAAAAAAGAGTGAATTTTTTTTCTTAGATTTTTAGGAAAAAATTATTTGATTATTTTTATATGATAAGTTACAATATTTGTGACCTAAATACTGAAAAGAATATAGTTTTTTACAAATTATAACCATTTTACAGGTGTGAGAACTCTATCCTTCTTTTTTAAAAATATTTGAAGCAGGGCTTGAAATTGAAACGGGAAAAAACTTTTATTTTTAAAACGTTTCAGTAACATCAGAATTTTTATTGTCCATAGTTTTTTAGTTGTTTTGGAACTAGAACTTTTCCCTTGTAACTTTTGAAGTAGAGATTTTACAGAACTTTTATTTTTTAAAAACTCTTATTTCAAAGTTCTGTTGATTTCATTATTAAGTGGATCTAAAAAATTACATTAATTCATAGCTACGCAAACAAGCGACAAATTAGATTTATGTGTATTAAATTTAAGACAAATTATAACTCTGATCTAAGTCATATTACTTTTTAAAAAAGTTGCATAAAAGTTTCGACCTGATTTGAAATTTAGACAAATTATTATTTTTTTAATATTAGGATATTATTATAATTTTAAGTTCCTAATATTAAATAGAATAAATAATTTATCATCTTTTTTTTAAGTTCAATTTTTTTTAATTATTATTTTAAAAATTTACAAAAACAAAATATATATTAGTCTATAAACATTTTGTTTATTCAGTTATATTTTTTTTCTGTAAAAAAATTAACTACATTAATTCTTTTGATAGGGAAAAAAGAAACCATTTGATAGAGTCATTCGAGCTAACATTGGCGATTGTCAGGCAGTTGGTCAAATCCCTATCACTTTTATTCGCCAAGTTTTGGCTCTTGTTTTGTATCCTGATTTACTGTGTAACACCAACTTTCCTGAAGATGCTAAAGAGCGAGCCAAAACCATTCTAAAAGGATGTGCAGGATCTTCTATTGGTGAGAAAGTTTAATTTGGTTTACATTTTCTATACAATGTATACGAAGAACAACCTAAAAACAAGGATATAAGTAAAGAAAAAAGTTATTTCTTTGTATTCTTATTTCAAATTAATTAGACTATCTAATCATACCTTCAAACAAAAATCACCCTTAAAGCAGTATCAAAAAACTGTTAGCACAGCGAAAATATTAGGAAAATTGTCAATGACTAATTACCATGGCACTGCCACATCTAGCAAAAATGTTTTTTTATCACTCTTGTTAATTTAGGAATAAGGTGTCTGCCATATTCAATATATTTAAATCCAATTGAAAATATAGGATATTCTTCATAAAAAGTTATCTGTCCAAAATTCCTTACCCGTTATGTTCTGTGATCTGCAGGGTATTTTAATAAGGCTTAGACTAGAGATTCCTATGAAGACTAGTTTTGACATCATAAAAAGTATATTGTAATTTTATAATTTCTCTTTCCCAACTTTACATTTTATGTGTGTTGGTTACAAATACTTTTTCATTGTCTTAAAAAGCTTAATATTTTTTGTGTTTTTTAACAAAATAACTGTGTTAAATTGTTATCATTTTTAAGATAAAACAGAGTTTGCTGCTGTTATGGCTCAAACCAAATCATGATTTTTATTATTACTTTATAAATGCTTATGATTCTTCATTTTAGGTTCTTACACTGATTCTAGTGGTATTGAGATCATTAGAAAGCATTGTGCCGAATACATAAAAAATCGAGATGGTATTCCTGCCGATTGGCAGAACATCATACTTGGAGAAGGTGCTTCTAGTGGGATTAAGGTTAGAAGATGGCTATAAAATATTTTTTAGATCTTTTGCATTAACTTTAATCATAATATACTAAATTACCCAAACATAATAATAATTATGATCAAAATATAATAAAATGAAACCAATAAATAATTTTAAAATATTCATGTTTTAAAAATATTTAAAATTCTTTCATCTTTGCTAAAAATGAGTGTCCATGAAACTTGCATAGAAAGGTTCTTTTTTTTAATGCAACATTATTGATTGATTCTTTATTCTTACGATTATTATTTAACTTGATTTATTTTCCAGACTGTTTTGAAATTACTGATAAATGAAATAGATGGGAAGAGAACAGGTGTTATGGTGCCTATTCCTCAGTACCCACTTTATTCTGCTTCTATCAGCGAGTTTAATATGCACTTGGTGAGCTAAATAATAAATGGTATATCTATTTATATAACACATGGGTAACTTGTTATTAGAAATTGTGCAAATTTGTTGCATAGATATTTCATATCAATTTTATCAAATTCATCCAATACTTTTTCATATTATGATTGAAGTTTATCAGGAATTAAGATTAAGTCTTGACTTCTCTGTTCAAGTTGTCTTTTCTATAATAATAAGTATAAAGCATTTATTATCTAGTATTAATAGTTTGTTTCCGCATTATATTAATACATGATATATTGTCTTCAATAGGTAGTATTAGGTAAATTAAATCAGATTTTCATTTCCAGATTGGTTATTATTTGGATGAAGCAACCAATTGGTCACTAAACATTTCTGAATTAGAAAGAGCTGTTAATGAGGCAAAGAAGTGCTGTAAGCCAAGAGCAATTGTTGTCATCAACCCTGGTAACCCAACAAGTCAGGTTCTTACTCGAAAGAACATTGAAGAAATTGTTAGATTTGCTCATAAAGAAAATCTATTTTTATTAGCTGATGAGGTTAGAAATGTTTAGCCGTTGTTATCATTAGTGTGTGAATGTAGCCACTGATAGACATTTCTATTAGAACAGTAGAACGTCGAAGTAGAGTGAATGGAATGCTTAAACTGAAGAAAATTTCATTTGAGTTCAATAGTTATTGAAAAACAACATATAATATTTTATATAATATTTTTTCTTACAAATCCTTTAGAATCATCAGATAATTTAAAGTGAAGGATTTATATTACTCTAACCAATATTTTTAATTTGTTGTTTAAGCTAATGTTTATTGTTATTAATACTTTTATTAAATTTTGTAATTAAAACTAAAGGTTGCAAGTCCATTTTATATGTATCCTAATGAAGTGTCTGATATTTAGTAACGATTCTCCTGAAATAGGAGTTTCATAATTTTTATATTCTAACTGATATCTTTTAAGGATGATTCTGGTACTAAAAACTACTTATTGATCACCATGTTTTTCAGGTATACCAACATAACATATATGATCCTAATAGTAATTTTTTCTCATTCAAAAAAGTTATTATGGAAATGGGACCTCCTTACAATCAGAGGGAATTAGCTTCATTTATGTCATGTTCTAAAGGTAAGAACTAAATCAATTATTAATTGATCCATAGTATTTTTTTTAATTGAGAAAAACTTTTTATTTTATGTTTTAATTCCTTAAAAGTGAAGGTAGCTTTTTGGGTCCTCCCCTTCCTCGTCATAAAGGCTATATGGGATTTTCCCGGGCCAGGGGGTATGGGCGGGGATTTAAAAGACACCTTGGCACCGGACGCGAACCCATGACTATTTTTGTATCATTTATCATATATCAGGTTGCCGAGCAACGGTGGTGCTGTGCACAATGCATTAGCCCATTCGGCCACCCCGCCCACTTCAAAATTGTAGTTAAGAATAGGGTGACCATCCACCGAAGAATACTATGCTACCTGAGAATTTCTCCTTATCCTCCCCCGCCTCTCCCTCCACCCTCCCCCCGGGTGTGTGAGGCTTGTCAGCCTACTGGAAGAAACTCACATAAGAGTGATGGCCATACCCTGCGTACTTTAATCTGAAATCGGGATATGGTTTTCAGTAGTTTCAGTAGTGGAATATTATGATGTCAGTAGTTTCCCTGAGGTTGGTCCATAGATGTTCTGTTTAAAGGAAAGAAATATAAGTTCTCGTTCACCTGTTGACTCTGAGCGGCCATAATTCATGGTTCTAGACAGATTTTTTACTGCCATTAAGCCCAAGTGAGCATGTCGGAAGGACACTGCCAGATAGAACCCAAAGAGATATGCTATAGAGCTATGGGTGGCCTACCACCGCACAATCGCCTCTGTAGAGATCAAAGTTGTACTTAAGAATGATGTAGGCATAAAAATAATTGTTTTAAGCAATCTTTATGTTATTATGAAAGATTAAGGATCCCAATCATTTTGTCCATCAATGGTACGAGAAATTATGGAGTGAGATTTGGCAATGCTGCTATTGCTCAGACCTACTTAGGTAGGTCTTAGAATCGTTTTGGTTACAATAAATAGTAAATAAGTAATAATATGCTAATATGGTCCTTAAAGAAAAAATATTGATACATAGTATTTTTTCAGTTAAGAGACATTGGCTAGAACAAATTTAGCCCATTATGTTACATTTGATAGTTTTCTATTATTTTTTATTCAATTTTATGACCTTGATGTTAACAGTTTCATTCCTATTAAAGGTTTCATGGGAGAGTGTGGCTTTAGAGGAGGATATTTTGAAATAGTAAATTTAGATCCAGATGTCCGAACAATGTTTATGAAATCAGTATTGGCCTTGCCTAGCCCAAACACCCCTGGACAGGTAAAACTGTATTTTATCTAATTACTACATGTAAAAATTAGACCGCAATGCTACTAAATAAAATCTGTATAACAATTCATATTATCAAGAGTAATGTTATTATTATAAATTATATTATTTTATTATTAATATAAACGAGTCAGAATACCAAGAGAAGGAAAATTGATGTTAGATTATAATTGGAAAAATCCAACTTTCGAAAAATCAAAAGTAATATATGTTTTGATGGGCAGTGTGATATTTATTATTATTATTTTTTTTTTTTTTTTTTTTTGGATCTTATAGTTTTGATGAAGCCTGAATTAACAAAATGTTGACAGGTTATTTTGTTCTATACCTGCATTTTAGAGACATAAGGCTGTGTAATTGGATTATTTTCCACTTATGTATAACCTAGCATTATATTACCATTGTATGACATATAATCATACAAACTTTAGTTATTTCCTCAGATTTTGGAAATAAAATTTAAATAAATTGAGCCATTTCTTTTAATTTACTGCTCTACTAGTGACCAAACCAAATATGGCCTGGTGAATGTTTGAAAGAGCAGTCTTACATCTTTGCACATATGTATGTTTTTATACCCTGGGTTTTGAATACAGAGTCAAATCTATACTCTTTTTGGTGTTGTATCTAAGGATGCAAGATGTAACCAAATTAATCACATCGATAAGAAACATCTATTGTGCACATGAACATCATTATTTTAAAAAGGTTATGATTCCGGTAGCAGTCAAAACAATATAGAAAGTAGTGGAAACGGTTTATTAAATGTCAGTGCTTCAATATCCATTGCCAATCTTCATCCGAGCTGAGCAGACAGAAGTGGAGATGAATATTAGTCTCCATTCAGTCACCATCTTCACATCTGACAATTGAGCCTTGATGAAGGTCCATAATGTGGGTAGAAACATGAATTACAGTGGGAATGTATAATATGTTACTCTTGACTGCCATCCAGATCATCTCCTTAGTTTCTCTCTTGGTATCTCCTATCTCCTTTAGTTTTAGACTATGACTAAAATAATTAAGTATATAGTAATATTTAATAGTTATAGTACTACATTAAAGTAGTTTGTAGATATCAGAAGGCTTCAGTACTGCATGTTCTCATACTATGGTAGATGCAGATGGGTAGGGGAGAGAATGCACTGGAAAGATATATCCAGGATCAAACAGGAAGTAAACAAAAGGAATGAGCCTTCCAACATTACCAGAACAAATTATTGTAATGACATGACTATATAAATATATTTATTGGCTTTTAAGAACAAAATTCATCATAAATTATTTTTAAAAGTAAAGATAAGAAGAAGTTTTATATAATTGGTAATTGGTTGACTGTCGCGGATAATGAAGAGAAGAATAGTTGGGGTGGTCAGTCAAAAAAGAAGGTAAAAATAAATGATAATATTTATTTTTACATATGCCGACGTTTCGACCTGAAGTTCAGACCTTCATCTGGGCTAAGAAAATAACCAGATAACAAGGTATGAGAAACATTCTACTTTCCTAATCATTAAAACTTCCCCAACAGCGACCTTCTAATCATTAAAAATCCCAAGAACACCATATCCACAGACTGGTACACTAAACCAACTTACACTGGCAGACTCCTAAATTTCCATTCTAAACATCCCTACCATCAAAAAATTAACGTTGCGAAAAATCTCATCCACCGTAGTCTCTCTCTCTCTGATCTCCAATTTCATGTTACCAATATCAAACGCATAAAACAGATCCTGTCAAACAATAATTTTCCTCTCCATGTCATTAACAAACTTATAACAGACCACAATAATCACTCTTCCTTAATCTCAACTTCCACTAATTCTCCACAACCCATTTCAGCCCCTATATACAGATCTCTACCTTATATTCCTAACCTTTCAGACAACATCAACAAAGTTTTCCGACCTACTAACTTACGACTTGCATTCAAATCTCACAACTCGCTCTCTAAATTATACACATCTCTAAACGATCCTGTTCCTCTCTCACACCGCTCTCATATCGTTTACAGTATTCCATGTTCTACCCCAATTGTTTTTCATCCAATATTGGTGAAACCAAAAATTAAAAGACCGCATAACCCAACAAATATTCTGTATCCTCTCGTAATTTTACCGCCTCCAAATTATCCGAACATTCTATCTCCCTCAATCATTCATTTGATTTCGACAAAACATCCATCCTTGCCACAGTTCTCAACCATGACAAACGACTCATTTCTGAAACCCTCCACATCCAGCTTCAACCAAAGACAGTGAATCTAAAAACTGACAAACAGAACTTTTCATTAGCCTACTCCCAAATTCTGAATTTATTAAAACTTCCATAGTTATATTCCTTTCCTTTTTGCTGACAACTTCCTTATATATATATATATATATGTGTGTGTGTGTGTGTGTGTGTGTGTATATATGTATATGTATACAGGTTTGTGTGTATATATATGTATATGTATGTGTATGTATGTACATATATATATATATATATATATATATATATATATATATGTGTGGGTGTGTGTATATGTGTGTGTGTAGTGTATGTGTGTATATTTATATGTATGTATATATATATGTATATATATGATATATTTTTATTTCAATTATTCTCCCTTATTACTCAACAGTTATTTTTCTTTTGAATTTTTCATCCACTTTCTATTAACTTTCGTTCAATTTTCCATAATATTTCTGAGTAATATATCTCTCGTACCTATTTACGCTTCCGGTGCTTTAGTTCAAACTTCGTCGGATAACCGTTAGAGATGACGCCACCTACACATCTCTTCTCTCTCCCCCTCCCTTGCAACGTCTTTTATTCTCCCTGCAACACTTAAGAAGACAGGTTGTACTTCTTTTATTTATTTCTTATTTCAGCTTTCTCGATTTCTTCCCTCCTTCCTTTCATTCCTTTTCTCTGTTTTTAACTCTTTATTATATTATACATTGTCTGTACATTTTAATAGACTTTACAATATCTCAATTTTCTATCTAACTACTCCATTCTCAATTTCTTAATTTTACTATTTATTTTCATTTCTTATATAACTTCATATTTCTTTTTTATGTTTTACATTTTATTCTAAGATTCCCATTGTAACACTTATGTCACCCTTTTTGATTATGCCTACTTCATCATTCCACACTTTGTAACGGTTATTATTATTTATCTCTTAGTTCTTAGTCATTATTCTAAGAATTTCATTTTACTTTATATTTATTTATTTTTATAATTTTTTATTTATTTTTTTTTTTACCATCACTACTTATGTTTCTCATACCTTGTTACCTGGTTATTTTCTTAGCCCTGATGAAGGCCTGAACTTCAGGTCGAAACGTCGGCATATGTAAAAATAAATATTATCATTTATTTTTGCCATCTTTTTTGACTGACCACCCCAAGAAGTTTTATAGTTTTATTTTTCTTTAATCACTATTTAATTACACACACACTCAAATATACACACACACACACACACACACATATATATATATATATATATATATATATATATATATATATATATATATTTATATTGGAAGGGCTCGAGGAAGGCCAAAAAGCAGATGGATAGATAGAATCAACAAAGATGCAATAGAGCTACATCCAGATAAATGGAAAGAAAAGAAATATTCCTCCTGTGTTTTCAATATCTATTTATAGTTTTCTTGTTTTATTTTTTTAATTTATCAGAGAACATGTTTGCTCTATTAATTCAGAGATAAAATATTGTAGATTTATCTTTTGGGTGCAATCAGTTAATTTTACTATTATTAGGTTATAATTGGAACATTTTCCAACCAAACAGCTTTATCTTTTTAAAATCCAGGTAAAAAAATAAAATAGCCACTAACTTTCACCAATCATGACAGAAAAAAAAAAAATCATACCACTCCATGACATCCAATTGCATGTAGGGTTATTTTATACTTCATTTACATTTCAATGCTGTTTAGTTGGAAATTTTTCTAATTGTAACCTAACATTGAATTTCTGTCTCTTGGTGAGTTTTTACTCGTTTATATTAACTTATAATTATTCATGGATTAAAACCTTTACGGGACTTAATGGAGTTTCATTTATAACAGGTGGTATTGGACTGCGTCGTTAATCCATTAAAAAAAGATGACCCATCTTATGAATTATATGAAAAAGAAAGAAATTTTATTTTAGAATCTTTAAAAGAAAGAGCTGAAATGGTATATAAGGCCTTTAATTCCTGTGAGGGCATGTCATGTAATGTTGTTCAAGGTTCTATGTATGCATTTCCACAAGTAGGTTAAATTGAAAAGTACCTTATCTGCTAGAAAATAGTTGTTACAGAATGATTTATATTTTATTTGTCTGTTGCAGATAAAATTACCACCCAAAGCAATAGAAAAGGCAAAATCACTAAATCAGTGCCCAAGTGTTTTTTATTGTTTTCAGCTCTTGGAACAAACGGGTGTTTGCGTTGTGCCTGGAGCAGGCTTTGGTCAAGTCGAAGGAACTTACCATTTCAGGTGAACAAACAGATTTGATTCATGATGAGATAATGGGATTCTCTACTACTCTAATTTTGCAATAATAATTGATAGGCATCGCACTGTAGGGTAGGGTGGTGGCATTCCCTCCTCCCTAATGTTTGAAATAGTTCCATTCCGTCCCACTTAATTACTCCACTACAAGTTGATTTGATCCTTGGCCTGCTTAACTAGAGTTGCCCAGCCTGCTCTATCCCTGGCAGTCTGTCTATGTTCTCAATTGTTTTTTAATGCCACCCCAGGTAAATAAATGTGTTACTTCACTTCTGTTGTAAGGTCTGAAGTTAGAAAAAAAATTTTTTTTTAAATGTTTTTATCTATCTTTTTAGATTTTTAAGATAATTCATGAATATTAAGTTTTTCACATGCAATTAACTTAAATGGACGCGGATTGGTATATTTGCAATCAATTCTTAAGGAGAACTAATAACAAAAGAATAGAACTATAATCCCTACCCCCAAACTGAATTATTAATAAACATATAATTAAACTATGCTATTATAAATACGAGGAGAATTGAATTTCATAATTTGAGCTTCAATTGTTTCCTCTTCTCCATTAAGGAAAAACTTATTATGTGTATCTGATATGCGAAAGATCTTAATATTTTTAAATTTTTAAAAATTCGATGGATTTCATATAACTGTTCACTCTGGGTAGTGTCTGGAGATAGAGGTTTCACTTATATTATGGTTCTAATCCTGATCAATGAGACAGAACGATGCCCAAGTTCTTATTAGGAGTTAACTTTTCATATGTTAATTTACTGTAAATTAAAAAAACCTGAATTGACTGTATTTCGTCTGAATAACAAGTTTTATAAAACTTTATTAATAAACAAATTATTAAAATGTGACATTTTATCAATGTTAATTAATAAAATCTATTCTAACTATTAAACTGAATCTGATGAAAAATAAAATTTGAGCAAGGTTTAAAACTGCATTGATAAAATCAAAAAGTAGTTTTCACCCTTCTGCTGTCAGTCAAAATTTATTTAAGAATCACTTAAAGGGGTATCTACCTTGGTCTAGAAACTCATGTGTAATAATTGTATTTTTCAATAACTGTACTTCTAGATTATTGGTTGTTTAGTTTGTTCTGTTTCCTTTCTTATGGTTGTTTGTTATGATGTTTAAAGCACAAAACATCTCAGTCATCAGCGCTTGATCCATAAAATACTATTATCATTAAAATATTTAGCTGGTAGAATCTCTTAAATACGTTTCCTTTCTAAATTCAGAACTTTCATTGCAGGACTACTATTTTACCTCAGCCTGAGGAACTTAAACACATGCTCAACATCTTCAAGACATTTCATGAAAATTTTCTGGCTGAATATAAGTAATATATATGCTTTACTTTATTTTATGTTTCAGTTTTTAAAAAAAGTGTAACATAGAGATCCTCGTGAACGGCACATAATGATTTAGTAAAAAATTGCATTCTAATATTTAAAATACAAAATGTTTTATTTTTATTTTTTTATACCATTAATTATTAATTTATTGAAAAATAAAGACTTTTTAAATCATTTATAAGTTGTTTATTGTCATTGTTACCCTAATATTTTTTTTTAAATTTTATATTTTAATTCAGAAGTGTTAATGATTGCTGCTGCTTTTGAGAGAGCTTTGATGTATTTTTCTAGATATACATTTATACATTAGTTATCTATAAATGTTTGTGTATACAAAAACATTATATTTGATTGAACATATATAATATTCAATATAATGAATTTGATTATATTTGTCATGTTACTCAGAAAAAGCTTTTAAGTCAGACCCTATTTATTTCTTATTTCAGCTTTCTCGATTTCTTCCCTCCTTCCTTTCATTCCTTTTCTCTGTTTTTAACTCTTTATTATATTATACATTGTCTGTACATTTTAATAGACTTTACAATATCTCAATTTTCTATCTAACTACTCCATTCTCAATTTCTTAATTTTACTATTTATTTTCATTTCTTATATAACTTCATATTTCTTTTTTATGTTTTACATTTTATTCTAAGATTCCCATTGTAACACTTATGTCACCCTTTTTGATTATGCCTACTTCATCATTCCACACTTTGTAACGGTTATTATTATTTATCTCTTAGTTCTTAGTCATTATTCTAAGAATTTCATTTTACTTTATATTTATTTATTTTTATAATTTTTTATTTATTTTTTTTTTTACCATCACTACTTATGTTTCTCATACCTTGTTACCTGGTTATTTTCTTAGCCCTGATGAAGGCCTGAACTTCAGGTCGAAACGTCGGCATATGTAAAAATAAATATTATCATTTATTTTTGCCATCTTTTTTGACTGACCACCCCAAGAAGTTTTATAGTTTTATTTTTCTTTAATCACTATTTAATTACACACACACTCAAATATACACACACACACACACACAACATATAACATATATATATATATATATATATATATATATATATATATATATATATATATATATTTATATTGGAAGGGCTCGAGGAAGGCCAAAAAGCAGATGGATAGATAGAATCAACAAAGATGCAATAGAGCTACATCCAGATAAATGGAAAGAAAAGAAATATTCCTCCTGTGTTTTCAATATCTATTTATAGTTTTCTTGTTTTATTTTTTTAATTTATCAGAGAACATGTTTGCTCTATTAATTCAGAGATAAAATATTGTAGATTTATCTTTTGGGTGCAATCAGTTAATTTTACTATTATTAGGTTATAATTGGAACATTTTCCAACCAAACAGCTTTATCTTTTTAAAATCCAGGTAAAAAAATAAAATAGCCACTAACTTTCACCAATCATGACAGAAAAAAAAAAAAATCATACCACTCCATGACATCCAATTGCATGTAGGGTTATTTTATACTTCATTTACATTTCAATGCTGTTTAGTTGGAAATTTTTCTAATTGTAACCTAACATTGAATTTCTGTCTCTTGGTGAGTTTTTACTCGTTTATATTAACTTATAATTATTCATGGATTAAAACCTTTACGGGACTTAATGGAGTTTCATTTATAACAGGTGGTATTGGACTGCGTCGTTAATCCATTAAAAAAAGATGACCCATCTTATGAATTATATGAAAAAGAAAGAAATTTTATTTTAGAATCTTTAAAAGAAAGAGCTGAAATGGTATATAAGGCCTTTAATTCCTGTGAGGGCATGTCATGTAATGTTGTTCAAGGTTCTATGTATGCATTTCCACAAGTAGGTTAAATTGAAAAGTACCTTATCTGCTAGAAAATAGTTGTTACAGAATGATTTATATTTTATTTGTCTGTTGCAGATAAAATTACCACCCAAAGCAATAGAAAAGGCAAAATCACTAAATCAGTGCCCAAGTGTTTTTTATTGTTTTCAGCTCTTGGAACAAACGGGTGTTTGCGTTGTGCCTGGAGCAGGCTTTGGTCAAGTCGAAGGAACTTACCATTTCAGGTGAACAAACAGATTTGATTCATGATGAGATAATGGGATTCTCTACTACTCTAATTTTGCAATAATAATTGATAGGCATCGCACTGTAGGGTAGGGTGGTGGCATTCCCTCCTCCCTAATGTTTGAAATAGTTCCATTCCGTCCCACTTAATTACTCCACTACAAGTTGATTTGATCCTTGGCCTGCTTAACTAGAGTTGCCCAGCCTGCTCTATCCCTGGCAGTCTGTCTATGTTCTCAATTGTTTTTTAATGCCACCCCAGGTAAATAAATGTGTTACTTCACTTCTGTTGTAAGGTCTGAAGTTAGAAAAAAATTTTTTTTTAAATGTTTTTATCTATCTTTTTAGATTTTTAAGATAATTCATGAATATTAAGTTTTTCACATGCAATTAACTTAAATGGACGCGGATTGGTATATTTGCAATCAATTCTTAAGGAGAACTAATAACAAAAGAATAGAACTATAATCCCTACCCCCAAACTGAATTATTAATAAACATATAATTAAACTATGCTATTATAAATACGAGGAGAATTGAATTTCATAATTTGAGCTTCAATTGTTTCCTCTTCTCCATTAAGGAAAAACTTATTATGTGTATCTGATATGCGAAAGATCTTAATATTTTTAAATTTTTAAAAATTCGATGGATTTCATATAACTGTTCACTCTGGGTAGTGTCTGGAGATAGAGGTTTCACTTATATTATGGTTCTAATCCTGATCAATGAGACAGAACGATGCCCAAGTTCTTATTAGGAGTTAACTTTTCATATGTTAATTTACTGTAAATTAAAAAAACCTGAATTGACTGTATTTCGTCTGAATAACAAGTTTTATAAAACTTTATTAATAAACAAATTATTAAAATGTGACATTTTATCAATGTTAATTAATAAAATCTATTCTAACTATTAAACTGAATCTGATGAAAAATAAAATTTGAGCAAGGTTTAAAACTGCATTGATAAAATCAAAAAGTAGTTTTCACCCTTCTGCTGTCAGTCAAAATTTATTTAAGAATCACTTAAAGGGGTATCTACCTTGGTCTAGAAACTCATGTGTAATAATTGTATTTTTCAATAACTGTACTTCTAGATTATTGGTTGTTTAGTTTGTTCTGTTTCCTTTCTTATGGTTGTTTGTTATGATGTTTAAAGCACAAAACATCTCAGTCATCAGCGCTTGATCCATAAAATACTATTATCATTAAAATATTTAGCTGGTAGAATCTCTTAAATACGTTTCCTTTCTAAATTCAGAACTTTCATTGCAGGACTACTATTTTACCTCAGCCTGAGGAACTTAAACACATGCTCAACATCTTCAAGACATTTCATGAAAATTTTCTGGCTGAATATAAGTAATATATATGCTTTACTTTATTTTATGTTTCAGTTTTTAAAAAAAGTGTAACATAGAGATCCTCGTGAACGGCACATAATGATTTAGTAAAAAATTGCATTCTAATATTTAAAATACAAAATGTTTTATTTTTATTTTTTTATACCATTAATTATTAATTTATTGAAAAATAAAGACTTTTTAAATCATTTATAAGTTGTTTATTGTCATTGTTACCCTAATATTTTTTTTTAAATTTTATATTTTAATTCAGAAGTGTTAATGATTGCTGCTGCTTTTGAGAGAGCTTTGATGTATTTTTCTAGATATACATTTATACATTAGTTATCTATAAATGTTTGTGTATACAAAAACATTATATTTGATTGAACATATATAATATTCAATATAATGAATTTGATTATATTTGTCATGTTACTCAGAAAAAGCTTTTAAGTCAGACCCTATCTATGCATAAAATTAATGGTTCTTCTCTTACATTTACATGGACATCAAAATATATTATCTTTAAGTTGGTAAAAAGTTATAACGTTTTTTATAAAACAATACAATTATGAAAATGAATTTGAATTTAATGATATCTCAAGTGTTTTTAATGGATCAGCTGACTTGAGAAGAGGACCATCGAAATAAGGTAGGAGGAGTTATTATACTATTATTATAATAATTATCTCTTATATGATAGTTCGAGTTTTCTTCAACATGAACTGTAATTATTCAACCTTTTGAAGTGTTAATTATTAGACAATTGTCCTTCAGAACTGAACAAACCATCTTCGGATTAGTATCATTACATTGAATACTAAAAGTTATGTAGGTATTGTTAACAAATGACTTTGTTTTGTTTGTGTTGTTTTTTTGGAAATATATAGTTTTTCTCCACTTTGCGAAGATATGATATGGGTCTCACATTTTCAACATTGACTTTTTTAAAGTGAGGCTTACAGTTTCACTTGAAACCATCATTTCTGACCATCCTGGAGTGATGCAAACATATTCTGGCTGGCAGGCTCAGCATAATTCCCAAATGAAGGAAGCCAAGGTCTAGGCTATGTCGAAGGCTGTTGTTCCCACAATAAAACCGACTGAACCGAAACACTTGATTGCTTGAGAGACCCTTGCCATAAATGGACTTGGTCCCACAGGGAGCCTACCTACCTACCCCATGGCCGGACAAGGGCCTGGGTCTCCTCCACTATTTTTCACCACTACTCTCTATTCAGCGTCTTTCTTAGCCACTGAGTGCCTACCTCAGATGGTGTCGCCTTCGAATCCTAAATTTTCTCATTATTATCTTCCATTATTAAAATGATGTGTTAATTTACCTAATTGTTCTCTCATAATTGATTTAAGGTCGCGGTGTTGAAATCCTTATATTTATTGACACGATATTGTTAAATTCAATTACGATTGGAAATTTTATCGCTGCCAAGCATTTCAGAGGCCTAGCTCAAAAACGAAAAGTCATACGATACTCAAATTGCGTGTTTATTAAACGCTGCATATGGCTGGGATGCTACAGCAATTTTTTGTTAAAATCGGCTAACCGGAAGTGATACTTAACATTATCGATTTTAGACATTTTTACGGTTTTCTCAAAAATGGTTATAACGATTTTGATCAAATTCATTACATCAGTGAAAAATTAAACGTTTTTTTATAATATAATGTAGGTCTTATTCTTATTGATATCCTCTAACAGGGGTTAAATGCCTAATTTTCAAAATTTCTTCCTTATAAGTACCTTTATTTTTTTTTATTTGAAATAATTAATCCTTTCATATTGGAACCTGGTATTAAAATGGTTTAATATGAAATATAAAAGAATTCTATTATTATCTAAAGGACAAGTAACCTAATATAATAATAGAGAACCATCTAAGCCCGAACGTGCAGCTGGGTTTGGCGGAAGGTTAGAACCGGCTTCTATACATAAGCATGTGCCGTTTTTATATATGCTAGGGTTGAAATTATTCGATATTAAATTGTATGGATGACAGCAATATAAAAATTGAAATTTAGATATATTTACCAACAAATAAAAATATCTACAATGAAATATTAGATAAATTTAGAGGCCTTAATTATCAGTGGCACTTATGTCGAACTAAAAATATTTCGTGGCACTTAACTATTCTACATAATAGTATAAATAGTTAAAATATACAGTCGCTAAAAGCAATGATTAGCTAGGGGAAAACAACGTAAATATAATACATTTGATGCTTGTGAAAAACAAATGGTAATTCATTGTTTCAAAATTTGTACAGTCTGTGATTTTTACTTTTTCTTTCCTCCATCTGAAAATACCTATTTCTCCTAAAAGAAGGGTGGTAAGTGAGAGTTGTGGGATGCGCGCATCACATCAGATTTTTAGCCTTGTAACCGTGTCTCTTTTTTCAAATCTCTTTTTTCGTTTTTTTGAGAATGAATGTTATTTATAAGTTCCTTACCGTTTAATGGCTGCCAGTTCACTCTGGGGTCTCAGGCCGATAAAATAGCAGGACGGGCTGGGGTATTATTCCCATAACCCCTGAACTAGTAAGCGGTGTAAGCTTGAGCTAGACCCGAAGGAGGGGTTGGTATTTGAATGCGGTTGCCAAATTTAAACAATACTGGCTTGATAAGCAACAATGCGATTCAAAGCTGTTCCTTAAAAAACTTTACGACAGGAGTCTAAGCTACGCTAAAATTGGATAGAGCATCTCTTAAGAAACTTACAGCGATCTAAAAACAAATTGTAAAACAAACTGTAATTGTAACAACACTGTAAAACAAATTATCATATGTTCAATCTCAGACTGCCAGAGGGACCCTTGTTAAGATTCTGTCATGAAGAGAATGAAATAATGTTCCACAATATCTGTTGGTATTTTTTCCCCCTTTTCTCGCCTTTTCGGCTATACGAGATTTTCTTGAACCAAGGGATAGGGTGAGAGATTAATGCTAGAATTAAAACCTCCCTGACACCAGAACTCGAACTAGTAATCTTCGGTTTATCAGATTGCCGGAAATCCGTCTTTTACACACGCGTTAACTCGCTCAGCCATTCTGCTCCTATTATAAATTGTACTTGTATACATTTAATATAAATGTATACAATAAATATAAATGTATAATAAATATTTATTATGTGTTGTATTTTTTTCACAGCTTAAAACAGTTCATCGGACACTTCGGAGTTCCCCATTGAAATATAACAACGTGAAAGTATAAATGTAATATGCTATAAAATAACCTTACTTTAGTTTTTTTTTTCGTAAAATGAGATAGATAGGTGAGCTTTAGATAAATTTGTGTTATCAGCTTAAGACTGTGATAATTTCATTGGCTGACGTATCAAGAAATCTATACAGAGAACGTTCGTATCTTTGTACTGTGCAATGCTTGGTGTGCCTGGTATAGTATTCAGGATTTGTAATTTTAAAAGTTAACCCCATCAGAGTATTATAATTTTAAGTGGTATAAAAATAATACATGCGGAAGTCACCAAACTCAGAGAATTAGCTTTACCAGTTTGGAATCGAGTTTGGCAGATGCTACCTGACCTTACCTGTCCCGCACTATTTTCCCTCAGTGGTCGATCGTCAATCACAAGAAGTAGCCAAAGATGTCTTATTCGAAATGCCTTACCTTAGAAAATATGAATCCTTGTTTAAAAGAAATGGAATATGCTGTTCGAGGACCACTATTTATCCGGGCTGCAGAAATAGAAAAGGAGCTGAAAGAGGTATATATTTATCAAATCGGGTTCAAAATATTCAAAATTAATTGGTTAATTTTCTTAAGGGCTGGACTGATAACTTTGAGGAAGGTTCATAGCCTTACTGCTTCTACCTAATAATCACTAGTGGATCCAGGATTTAATTTTGGGGAGGAGTTTAAGATCGAAATCATATATATATATATATATATATATATATATATATATATATATATATATATATATATATATATATATAATAACTGAGGAAGAAAAATAAAGCAACTAACTACCTATATGAAATGGTGTTTAAATGGTTTCTTTTAAAAACGAAATCACAGGAACAATAATTTTTTTAGAGATTTTTTCATAATACGTGGTTATATTTAGTATCTGCACATACATTTTGATTTCAAAAATAGAAAATATTGTTATTGTGTAAATATTTAGCATATATCACTCACAGTAACAAATATGGACCAATAAAAGAAAAAAAATCCATTTGGGGTGACTCAGTCCGAAATACTCCTGTAGATCCGCCGCCTGTGACTGGTTTCGTTACTAGTATTTGCTAAATTACTCGGGATATCTGCCCCCAATAATTATCATAGAAAATTCCTTTTGAACAGGCGTCATCATTTCCGGAATCAACGCTTCTTGGAGCCTTGAATTTCAGCCTTTTTCAAAAGATTCTCACCTGCTCAATTTGCTAATTTTTGGGAAAGTAAAAACACTGATATTTTATCAAGACATCTTAACGTTAAGAAGCAAAAATACGAAATTAAATATTAAATTGCTAGTAACTTTTTCGCTGGCATTCAAAATATTTTCTGTTGTTCTTCGTAACGAACATCGTTTCTTCAAATTGTATAATTTATCCTTTAGGTGACAATGAAATGGTGCAATTGTAATGATTAATTTGCTTACATTGTAGCAATTGCGGAATATATATATATATATATATATATATATATATATATATATATATATATATATATATATATATATATATTGGGAGTACTTTTTTATTACAGTAATTCCTCAGAACGAAAAACAAAGAAACCATATAAAATGATGTTTAAGTGTTTTTTGAAAGACTGTCCAAAAGAAGAGGGAACCCCACCAAGAGGTCTAATGTGTGTGCACAGCACCGCTTGTTGGGCAACCTGGTTGGGAAGATTATTTGATAAAATAATTACGAATATTAAATATAAAAATAATTATGAAATAAAATTTGCGTCCTGGAGAACTTTTAACTCTGAGGTAAATCCACCGCCCTAACCTCCTAACTTCCTGGCCTGGGAATACCCCTATAATCTAAAAGATGAGGACAAATAAAAGGATAGGGAGGACAAAAAAAAGTTGCCAAGAAAAGATAAATAATATTTTAATCACAGGATTAATAATGTTTTGGGGATAATTTTTTATAAACTATAAATAATATAAACTTGGTTTGTAATGTAAAATAAACCATAAGTCATCCTTTATATTTCTACATTATAAAAATTAAATTAAATAAAACTGACAAACTTAGATGAAAGTAATAAGCAGTACATCCAGAAAACTTCTTTATGACTAAGCTCTTTTATTGGTATTTTTAAAAATTATTTATTTATTCAAAAAGAGATGTTTTATTTTTCCACTCGTATAATTTTGACAGCAAAGATAATTAACTAATGCCAATCCTTTTGACAGGGTAAGAAGAAACCATTTGACAGGGTCATTCGAGCCAATCTTGGTGATTGTCATGCTGTTGGTCAAGTTCCCATCACTTTTTTTCGTCAAATCATTGCTCTCATAGCCTATCCTGGTTTACTATCTGATCCTAACTTTCCCAAAGATGCTAAAGAGCGAGCGAAAACCATTCTCAGTGGATGTAGAGGATCTTCTATTGGTGTGTATAAACTTAATAAAAAATAAATGGGATACCTGAAAAAAATAAAATAAAATAAATAAAGCATTGCTTTTATAATGTTTCTAAATATTTTTATTATTTGTTAAATGAACAAAAGATGTTTTAAATAATAATATTAAAAATAAACAATAAGAATAATCCAGTAAAAATCCATTTATTTTTTTATATTATCTGATTTATTTTAAACTTATGTTAATTAGCAATCTAACTTGATTTTATATTTAAACCAATTATTTTATGGTCTGTGTGAAATATTGGAAAGTTAATCTTTTACTTTAATTCTAAAACATCATAATGCATAATTCCAACAAACTATTTGTAAATAATTCAAATCATTGCCTTCTACCTTGTCTTTCCTGTGATACTACTGCATCCACCAAATCATCAAGAACCTCAATTATCTTAATTAGTTCTGCTTTCAGTTTATCTTATCTTGAGACCAGAGGTGCATGGTACTTGTTGAACAAGAATCTCTTGAAAAACAATAAATTGTTATTCTAGAAAGCAGAAACTGCTTATGCTGAAAATAAAACTGGCATATATAGAGGGGGTATGAGCAGTACCACACCCTTACCTTTGATTGGTCAACCCTTCTTGGTTGTACTTAATCTACTAAATATGACAACAATCTTAATTTCTGGAAACTGTTAAGCACATGATTAAACTTGCAACATATTTGATGAGTTACGAACCATGTTGATGAGAGCCGCTGGAATCTATACCCTCACTAAAACTAAACGTTTTCTCAATTAGTAAGTTAAGAAAGTTTTCCACTGTTCAAATAGTTTATTTAAGACTGAAGAGTGGTTACCTAGGAGTTCAAGGAAGAACGTGAAGCCTGGCACCAGAAAGACTGTCACATTATGATGTTCACTCAGGAGAGGGGCGATAAAAGGAGGATCCAAATCTATAGAGAAAATTGACAGTAATTGCACTAAACGTTGTATCTTATTGCTAATACTATTGAATCAATGATTGCTAAAAGGATAGATGGTGATATAAATAAATAATAAAATAAAACAGTCTTATTTTAATCACGAGAAAACAGAATGTACTATTAGCATGTTAATGTATTGAATCTTAAGCATAATTTTTAAATGCTTGTGATTAATCATTCTAGGTTCATATACTGATTCTGGTGGTTTTGAAATCGTACGAAAGCATTGTGCTGAATACATAGAAAACCGAGACGGTATTCCTGCAGATTGGCAGAACATTATAATTGGAGATGGTGCTATGGATGTCATTAAGGTAGATAGTTACAAAAATTTTTTAAAGTTATTGCTTCAACTTTAAACAACATATAATTGAACTTCTCCATAGTAAAATAAGTGTGTAATGTTCTTTTTCTTTTTTTCTCCCTTACCTCAATTTTTCGGAAATGCAGGGTTTTTTCCAGGACAGGTGAAAGGGCGAGGGATTAATACCAAAGTTAAATGCCCATGGCACTGGAACTTGAGTTTGTAATCTATGTGTTATTAGGTTGCCGGGCAACACGTGTATTGCAAATGCATTAGTGCCCATTGTAATTAATTAATATTAATAAGCCTGTAACATTCTGTATAACTAATAAAATAACATCAAAACTGGCCAATGTTAGATAACAAATGATAGTTTTTGGTCCCCTTGACCTTGATTCTCTCTTCCCTTCCATCTATTTAAATTAATACCTGACACTCTTTCTGTATGTTTCATTTAATTGAGCTTTATTCTGTTGAATCGTATTTTTATTCCACTCCTTCCCAATGGCAATTTAGTTTAAGCTTTTGATATATATTGATTTTTGTCATAGTAATACACACACATTCAACAATTTCAAAACACAATTCTTAGGAAGATTGTCAGAACAACGGTGTTGGAAAAAGAAAAACCCTCAACTCTCCACAACATACTGGATATTCCAATGATTCCGGAATTTATCAGGAGGCATGTTAAATTCCTGGAATCACTTAAATACCTCCCTAACCCATTATTCTCAACTCTAACACTTACATCTCCACCAGTGCGATGGCAGAATAAAAAAAAAAAAAATTATAGCTATCCTTACCAAAACCAAAATGTTTTTATATTAATTATTAGTGAGATTTAACATCTTTATTTATTCATTCTTTACTCACATTTCATTTACATATTTTGACATTTTGTGGTCTCATCTCTATGATCAGAATAACATTTGTTTTAACTTTAAAATTTCTGCCTATATATTGTCTCGCATAACCAAATTGCATTTTTACAAAACTCTGATTAGGCCAGTGCTCACATATGGATCAGAGTGTTGGTGTCTATCTAAGGTTCAGGAAAATCAACTCCTCTGATTCGAAAGAAAGGTATTGAGAAGAATTTTCAGAGCTACTTTCAATGTCAACGATGGATGGTAAAACCAAGGATACACTTACCATTCTGGGGATCCGGGATTGGAGAGTGGAAGCAAGGAATCGAGATGAATGGAAATCCTACTTCAAGCGGATGTGACCTCTCACAGATTGTAGAGCAATGGAAGAACATTTCTTTCTACAAAATTTTCAAATATTTAATAACTCCAATATAGCTATGGCACAAAACATTAAAAAAAAAAAAAAAAAAAAAACGATGAATGAATGAACGAATGAAATGTGATTAAATAACATTAGGGAGTTAAATTCTCACTAATAGTTAATAAACAAATTTCCTTAAGAATTCCCATAACTCCAGAAGGTAAAGAAAAAAACATTCAATGCACTTTCATTTAATTTGACAGTTAAAGCGTTTTACACATATCTAAATAAAAAATATGATAGTCAAAAGAAAATTATCCATTCTTCTCAAACCTATATATTTCAACTTTTTCAGCCAGCCTCAAATTTAGAACCAATTTTACACAATTATGATTTCTCTATATGTTGCTTTTTATTTCCATTCCAACTATATTTGTTCTAGATCATAACCACTTACTATAATTCTATCATCTAGATTAACAATAACCTTATAAAAGATGTATCTTTATTTTTTTTTTTTTAGGCCGTTATGGAATTATTAATAAGTGAAATAAATGGCAAGAAAGCAGGTGTCATGGTGCCTATCCCTCAATATCCCATTTTTTCTGCTATTATCAGCAAGTTTAATATGCACATGGTAAGCTAAATATTGGTAATGTATAATAGTCTTAATCTCACTACTCACGAAGGAGTTTTATTTTCTCTTTGAAAGAAGAAACAAAGAAAAGTTTCTACCGAGACTCCTTAACATATGTTTTATAAGTATGAAATATCAGTATTGAGTTGTTATATTTTTCAAATAATTTTTAATTTTGTCCACATTTTTTTAGTAGACGTTATTTTTTCTTTATTAGTAAACTACATCCTCCGCTGGTTTAAAATACCAGTGAAGTGGCTGAGGGAGAAGCGTAGGGATCTCCTAAGCCTCCCTTTTCCCTCCACATGTGGAGGGGACAGGATTGGTTCGGAGATCACCTGGCAAATTGTAAATTAGTAAACTAAGTCATACTTTCATTTTCAGATTGGTTATTATTTGGATGAAGCAACAAACTGGTCGTTAAGTGTGTCTGAATTGGAAAGAGCTGTTAATGAGGCGAAGAAGTGCTGTAAACCAAGAGCAATTGTTGTCATCAACCCTGGTAACCCAACAGGTCAGGTTCTTACTCGAAAGAACATTGAGGAAATTGTTAGATTTGCTCATAAAGAAAATCTGTTCATATTAGCTGATGAGGTTAGACATTTTTATTTTATTTCTGTTTACATTAAATCTATAATGTTTAGACCATATTATTAAATTATTAATTTTATGTGATTTTCATTATAACATGAGGTGACATTGAATAGTTATATTAGAAGCAGTTGAAGAACATTGAGGAAATAGGAAATAAGAATGGATTTCAGAAATTTTGCAGGAAAATAGGTGCCATCAAGGAAAGATATTCACTTGTAAATAATTGAACAAAAAGCAAGGAAGATGTACACGTGGCATCGAACAAAGAGTCTATTTTAAGATGGAAAAAACACATCTTAAAAATATTGAACGATGGTACAGATGACATCCACGAAACAGGCGGGATTCTTTATAGTGCAAAATCTGCAATCAGAAAGCTAAACAAAGAGATCTGTAAACTGAAAAACAAAATATCAAGTATAGACAATATAAATACTATAACACGGTGAGAGAACTGCACTGACTCATAAAACATAAATATGAGGGAAACGAGACCTGACAAAATGCAGGAGATGTAGAGCTATCTTGAAGCTAATTGCTGCATATCGTGAAGAGAAGTTAGTGAATATCAATGTAATTTTTGAAAACATAGATCAATTATGGATCAAATTTTTGTTCTTCGTTAGATTAATAGAAAGATCTAGAAGTATAATACAGTTTTTTTTTTTTTTTTTATAACAGTATTCAAAAATTTTGAATTGATATACGATATTCCCAGAAGAGGTTTTGTCGCAACTTTCTCAGCAAAACATCTATTTGTTGTTTTCCTACAACTACTGAACTTAATTTCAAAAGTTTTCTGAATTCTTTTTACAGAAATAAAATGTCAAAATCATAAAAAGTTTACTGAAAAAAGTATTCAACATTACGAAAAATATTTCTGATTAATATATACTTATTTTGTAGCATTTTAGCACTTTTTTAAAAATCAGAAATCATATGAATTGTAAAAAATTTAAGCAGTTCCTAAAATACTAAATATACTTTTAAATAGTTAGTTAAGTTAAAACATTTTTTATTTTTTATTGACTCATCCGATTCTTTGAGATAAAGGATTTACTCAAATCTAAGCAATGTTTTTACAATGTAGATTAACCTAATCTACTTTATTAATATAAGCATATTAATAACTTTAAGGTTGTAATTAAAATATAAGATTTGTTGGTCAATAATTCTTCTATGGTAATGAAGTGTCTGATATTTATTAATAGTGTTTTTCTTGAAATATACTATTTCTAATTTTTGTATTCTTATTGTACATTTTCAGTGTTATACCAAGTATAACACTGTCATACATATTTATTTTAATTTCCATTTTGGTCAGTCAGATTTTCTGTTTTTTCCTTCAGAACGAACTTAAACCTCCCATCCACCCAAAAATATACAAATAAAAATAATATGTGATATTATATGCAACTACTTGTTTTATTTCTTTTATTATTTAAAAAAAAAAAAAGATTAAATTGTGCTCAGTTAAGGCTTTGATTGATGAAAATTATTTCCTTTCCAACCTCGGAATTTACCTAAATAGGGAACTTTTTCACTAAAGTGGAAACCCTGATTATACTACCACATATTAAGAACTTTTTATCAATAGCCATGTTTTTCAGGTATACCAACATAACATATATGATGCCAACAGCAAATTTCTCTCATTTAAAAAAGTTCTCATGGAAATGGGACCACCTTACAATCAGATGGAATTGGCTTCTTTTATGTCATGTTCTAAAGGTAAAAATTAATAATGACTTCAATTATGTTTTCTTGAATTACAATCAGGTTTTTATTTCATATATTTTTTATTTTTCATCTTCAGAGTTTTAATAACAATTAAACTATATCTATCCTACCCATTCTATTTATTATTATTTATGATGAAATCACTGTTATCATTATTCATTTTGAAGTAATTTTTCTAATTTAAAATAAATACTATGTATAACTTTAAAAATAAAAATTTTGGTATATTTTTAATTTTTAAAGTCAAGATTAGTATCCTGATGCACCCAAAAGTATTTTGTTAATTATAAAAAATATATATTTTCTTGATGATTTTAACCATCTACAATCTTTAAACAAACTTTTATGTGGTTTTTGTTATGGGTTCCAAGGTTTACAGCTCAATTACTGCTTAAGTTGTTACAATAGTGACAGGCATCTACTGCACTAGAATGAATGAAAATTCAGTTAAAATTTATTACATTCATTCAATTCTTCATCCGACTTTCTAGCTCACCAGGAGTTGAACCAATTTATCTGAGACAGAGCATTTCCATACTCTCATATAGAGGATAAATAACTGGCAAGTGGTACACATAAATAACTGAATATTAGAATAAGTGTTGATAGCCAAAATAAACGACTGATGTTTGGAAAATATTCTCCTCCGCTTTCCTAGACTACACGTATTAGATGATCCCTTCAAAATGTATAACCATATGTTCATATTTATATATTGTGGAGGTATTTTTGACTGTAGAACTGATTGCAGTTGGTTTATGAGTGTGGTCTGTAAGGAAAAAAAAATTATTTTAATCTGTGCCGAAGTTCAGCCATAGTTTTAGAACTTCATCAGGACAAGATTAATGTAAGATTCTCACAGGAAGTATAGGGATAAGACAGATATAGCAATGACAAAATAATGCTCTGATTTTTAGTTTTTTCAATTTAATAAGAGGTTAACTTTTTGATTCATATTAAAGGTTACATGGGAGAGTGTGGGCTTAGAGGAGGATATTCTGAAATAATTAATTTAGATCCAGAGGTCCAAACAATGTTTATTAAATCAATATCAGCTATGCTTTGCCCAAACAACATTGGACAGGTAAAAATGCATTTTATGTAATAATTAGATGTTCATATGTTAGGTAGTAATATTATAAGGTAAAATCTGTTCACTATTTATATGTTCAACATTTGGCCTATGATCAGAAATCAGATTTAAATACATTTATCTTCATTTACTACATATTATAAATTAGCAAGAAGGTTATCTCTTTCTTTGTTGATGTTGGTCTAAGTTTTCTTACCAGAGTTCTGTAACAGAGGTCTATAACTGCTTTTTAGGATTGTAGGCCTCATCTAAATTAGGCAATAATAATAAAGGCAACTATATGTTTTTGTATTTCACTGTTGCTATCTTTATTGGGTTAAACATTTTATAAAATTACCATAATTTATATTAATAAATAGGTAATACGTACCGAGAAAGGGTTGGATCTGGGTGGGACAACATCCGTGCTGGGCTATGCTGATGATCTGGTACTGTTAAGCGAAGATGTGAAAACTATAAAACTAAATATGACAACGTTAATGAAAGCCGGTAAAGAACTAGGACTCGAAATAAACGTGGATAAAACAAAATATATGGTTAGCTGCAAAAATGGCAAAAATATTAATAAATAAAAGTTTTAGCTTTTTTTAAAATCATACAAGAATTTACAGTGGCTGCACATTTTCTCCCTATGGTCCAGACAATGCGTATTCATTTTCAGTAAGACGGCTGGACAGCTTTTCATTGACTATACTGTAATTGTTAATAAGTAAATAAAGGAGCTTCTATATCAATGATTAGGACGCTAAGATGGCTAATGAAAAATAATTAGAATTGATATTTTATTTGTTACAACCTGGTGGTTGTTGGTTTATCAATTATTTTATACTTAAAGTTACTAGTAAACCTGTTTTACAAAATGTATAGGTCCATATTTAAGCATATGACAAAACGTTGGTGTCAAGAACAAATACATTAATAATTATTTCTAAAAGCAAAGATCAGAGGTACTGCCAACAATAGTTTCATTTCCTCTAATCAGCATTTTATTGAACCAATACAGTAGTATTTTAATCAGAAAACACATTTTATATCTATCTATATATATATATATATATATATATATATATATATATATATATATATATATATATATATATATATAGATAGATATAAAATGTGCTATACATAGATGTAAAATGGTGCTATCTACAATGTGTGGTGGAAACATATTGTATTTTCTACATTTTAGAAGAAATACCCTCTGTGGTTCCAAATGTGACAGCTTTTTTATTAATTTCGAATACTCTTTTGCTGTTTTACTAATATCATTCCCGTTTTTATATTTTATCTCCTGAAAGATGCCCATGATTTTTTAAAAAAATTTTTAATATCAATTAAAACTTTAAAATAGTAACAAGAAAACCAAAACTGAAACCAACCGATAAGTCAGTCGTAATTCTAGCAAACAATAATTTCTCCCTTAATTCTATATCTTTACAACTTTTCCTTCATCGACCTTTGAGTATTAAATTCAAACTTCACTATTTTATTGGGAATAAGGTCACTTAATATATATATATATTATTAATATCTATTTATCTACAATATTTTACATTTATTTGTATTATAAATGTAATGTAAAGTAAAGTAATGTAAAATATAAAGTATAAACTTGCATAATTAGATTTGCATAATAATTCCTGCATCCAACAAAGCATGTAGTTTCAATCGTCCCCTCTCTAAGATCACTAGCTGTTCATTAATTTCCTATTGTTTTCAGTAGAGTATATGGCCATGTTCTTCGAGCTGAGTTCAGATATGATACAGTTATATGAAAAAAATTAAATGTAACAACATGATTAAATTCCATAGCATGACTAAGTGAAAAAATTAATCATTAATTATTTCTTAAAGATGAGAGGTATTAGTAATATCTTTTTTTCTCTTTTAAATTTTTCTCTTATCAGTATTTTATTTAACCAATGAAATATTATTTATTTATTGAGTAAAATTATGGTTATTAGCCTGAGATTTCCTGTTTCCTCCTTTTTAATATACATTTGTAATTTTGTTGTTTTTTTTTTTTAATTAATCAGAGAAAAGGTTTATTTAAATGTATTACTTATGAAAAGGGTTACTTCAATTCATTTAGAGAAATAAAATGCACAAAGAACTAACTTTTGAGAGAAATTAGTTAATCTTATAATTTTTATTCAATGAATTTTTGGGACTTAATTAAATTTAATTGAGCTTCATTTACAACAGGCTGTATTGGACTGCGTGGTCAATCCATTGAAAAAAGGTGACCCATCCTATGAATTGTTTGAAAAAGAGAAGAGTTTTATTTTAGACTCATTAAAAGAAAGAGCGAAAATGGTATACGAAGGCTTTAATTCCTGTGAGGGCATGGCATGTAATGTTGTCCAAGGCGCTATGTATGCATTTCCACAAGTAGGTTAAATTTATAGATACCTTCTCACATAGAAAATAACTCTTAATGAATGGTTGGAATTCTTTTTGGTCTGTTGCAGATAAAATTACCACATAAAGCAGTAGAAAAGGCAAAATCACTAAATCAGTGTCCAAGTGTTTTTTATTGTTTTCAGCTCTTGGAGCAAACAGGTATTTGTGTTGTGCCTGGAGCAGGCTTTGGTCAAGTTGAAGGAACTTACCATTTCAGGTAAATTGGTTTATGTAAGATGTACTTCACGATATTATGTTTCTTGATTTCCTTGCCAATTTATATTCCAGTTTAGAAACTCATATATACTTGTTTTCTCTGATCATTGTAATCCTTGATTGTTGGCTGTTTAGTTAGTTATTCATTCCCATTTCTTGATTTGGAACTTGTATTACAGGACTACTATTTTACCACAGCCTGAAGAACTTAAACACATGCTCAACATCTTCAAGACGTTTCATGAAAAATTCCTTGCTGAATATAAGTAAAATCAATAGTTTAGTTTATTATTATTGTTTTAAAAATAAGAAAAAAAGATCCCAGTGAGAAGCACACAATGGCCTGGTTAAGAATAGTAAAAAAAAATTTTAAGTGCAAACAGTTTTTTTTTTTGTATCATTAATTATTAATTTATTGAAAATAAAGACATTGTTTAGCATTTATAAGTTGTTTATTGTAATTGTTGCATTATTCTTTTGTAAAATTTTATATTTGAATTTAGAAGTGTGAATGATAACTTCAATAAAACTCATCATCAATAACCATGTCATCTGGAAGGAGCTCAAAGTTCAAAACATCCTCCAAAAACGTAATGTATTTTTTTCCTAATCAACATTGGGAAACTTCTGCTTAAGCCTCTTGGGTTACCCTCTGTTTTCAGTTGATATGAGTTTTTAAAATATTTATTTTTCATCACTCATTACAATTATTTTCTATAATTTATCATCTTTTGGATTTTGAAGCCATGTTTTACATGCATAAACTCAATCTTGTGCATGGATGGTTGACCTGGTTTTTACATTCTTTATATTGGTTGTCTGGCTCAAGTAGTTCAACATAATTCATATCTTAAGGGAAATTGGTTTAGGCTCGGAGTGCAATAAGGGATTTGTACAGCTCAATCTGCGCATATTTTTATGGGGTTATAAATTTTTGAGAGGTTAGGTACATATTTAATGAAAGAGATTTTTTTAAATTTTTTGTGAGATTTTAATGAAAGAGAACTTTCAAACTAAGAGAAACAAACTAAAGTTTCTTTGATTTGTACCATTTTTTAGAAAGGTAGAGCAATAATTTTTTTGGTAGAGGGACATACAAATTAACGAACTCATACTACAATGAAGACTTTGAAATTTAGTTTTATTATAAAATAAAGTATTACATTAAAATTTATAAATACTTATTAATTTATAAATACTTATTACAAACTAGCCTTGTGAGACCTAAACTTATGTTATACATGATACATCTAGGAAACTATTTACAGATAGAATGATTTCCTGTTGGTCTAAAGGGGCTAATATATCCCTAGATGTGGCGTGAGGGTAGATCTAGGTCTACCAGGGGAAACAGAGAATAGGTTTCCTTAGAGTGTAAACCTATCACAGGATGTGGCCGATTGCATTTGTACTGCGACAGAAAAAGGCAAAGTGGTTGTTAGACAAGGAATCCTCTTCTAATGAAAAATAGTAAAAGGGTAGTAAAAGAGAAAGTAATATTATAACTCATTTGTTATAACGCGACTAACCAACCCGACAAACTAAACTATAACTGTTCACACATGGCCGAATGCTTCTTTGAGACAAATTAATTAACAATATTAGTAATTTAAATAATGAAAAAATAGTAAAAATAATTATAGTTATTTAACTTGCGCAACTCTCTTGAGGGGAATAGAGACGCTAAAACGCTGTCTTGTTATAAACCAGACATTCGTCTTCCACCACAGCAATTTCCACAGCCACTGCCTTGGAACTTTTTTTTTTTTTTCAATAGTGCATCTACACAACGAATGGCAATCTTTTTCTCCAATATTTTCGGTAAAATTTATAAAACCAAAAGAAAGGCAAAGCCAGTGGGTTTATATAATTAAACAAGGAGTTATTCAACGTAAATAACGATGATTGAGTCTTTAGTTCAGCAATGAATTAATACACAAAGACTTCTGTAACTATATAATTGTAAACAAATGTAGACACGTACGTAGAGAAGTGTCTCAAATTTGCACAAGCGTTCAGTATTGCGGGTACTGAATAACCTACCCCGTGTCAATTTCTAACTGAATAGAAAATTTATACTAACATGTGGAAGAATATTGAGAATTCTTGTAGAAAACTTTGAAAGTAAATTCACTACAGAATTTTTAATAAATGTGAAATTTTCATGTAAAACTTATTGCGGTTAGTTGAAAATGTTGAGGTATGCATAAATAAATAACAAATTAAGCTTAAATAATTATTATGTTTCGTATTTATTCTCGGTGATTAAGAGCGTTATTGGAGTCTGATTAGGTCTTGGTGAATTATGCCTCAAAAATATATAGATAAGTAAATAAAGGTATGCTATAATATCGGCAAAAAGGAAATTTCTCAAAGAAAGATTGCAAACCACTGAGGATAATTAGCAGAATTCTAGAATTCTACACAAATCTTAGGAAAGAAAGAGTCAGATATAAAGGGAAAAATACGTAAATGTGAGGAAAATATGGTATTCTGACAGTATCTAAAGAAAACATATTGAGCATCAGGAAAGAAAATTTCCAAGAGCTTCTCAATTAAGGGGACCCCACGATCAAAGAAAACATCCCTGATATACTGGATGTACAAATAGCAATCGAAAGGCTTAAAACAAAAAGGTCCGAAGAGTGGATAATTTACCATCAGAACTGTTCAAAGATGGTGGAGAATACTTCAGAACCAAGTTACTACAACTAATCCAGAAAATATGGAAGGAGAAAAAGACATCAGAGGCTTGGAATACAGGCCTAATCCACCCTATCCTAAAACAGAGACGTGGCACTCATCCGGTTGCCTACAATATAATGACCTATAACCTACTAAAACGGATATATCCTTATTACGAAAACATAATAGGCGACCACAAAGCTGGATTCAGAAAAGGAAGAAAATCAGATCTTCATCCTAAAACAAGCTCACGTGAAACGATGAGAAGTAGCTCAGGACGTCCAGGTCTTATTTGTCGATTTTAAAACAACATGTGATTCTGTGAACAGGAACTGTCTTCAGAAAATCATGACTGAACAGGGAGTTCTCTGTAAGTTAGTTACATTAACAAAGGCATGTACAAATGACTCTAAAATCACCAGAATAGCATACGTCCAAATAATTCTAAGTAGCATGTTGAACGTATTAATTTTATTAAGAAGTAATAGTTAATTTTTATGGTGTTGTATTCGTCAAGAGAGTCGATGATTTAATTTTTTTTAATGTAGTCATGTGTGATTTCCTGGTCAGTTTGTCCATTGTGAGTTCCAAATATTTTGATTCTGTATAATTTGGAAATGGAATGTTGCAAAGTGTCAGTGGAGAGCAACCAGAAAGCCTAAATACAAATGTATCCTGATTTGATTTATGGATATTTATTGTATGCTCCGTCTTCCAAGTCAGTTTTGTAATAGATTTAATTGTACTTTCTGTAAATAGAGTCCAGAACTGGAACTAAAATGCTGCCCTGCTCCCTGTTCTTTCCTCGCTCGTCATTTTTTCTCCTTTTTTCAAAGATCTTGCACACCTTTAAATCCATTCCCAAATGAGTTAGAAGGCTGAAAATTTCATTTAAAAGCGTGTATTATTACACTTTAAAAAAAATAATAATAAGTATTATTTCGAGTTGAACAGAATGATAATAAAAATTTTGGAAACTTTCAAGAAAAAATTATCAATTACTAGATCGAATCAAACATTTTTACAAAACCTGAAATTCATACCAATTTCGATAAAATTACCGAGAGTTTCAATGGAAGGATTGAACGAAAATCAATCAAAGGTATAAATCAATCAATCCAAGGTATGGAAAGGTATAAATCAAAGAGTATAGAAATTGTACGTAATATAAATACTTTTTCTCTGATTAAAATCGTCCTTGAGAGACCTCCTATATAATTATCACGTCATGAACGTATGAAATTAAGATACTCTAGAATAACCTTATTGTTTGTTTTTTTGCGTAAAATAAGATAAAAGATGAGCTTCAGATAAATTTTTGTTATCAGTTATATAAACCATCAACATCAGACAATTTGCTTGACCAGTTTGGAAGCGAGTGTGGGGAGTGCTATCTGACCCTTTCTTTCCCGCACGAGTTCTCCTCAGTGGTCGATCGTCAGTCACAAGAAGTAGTCACAGATGTCTTTTTCGAAATGTCTTACCTTAAAAAATATGAATCCTTGTTTAAAGAAAATAGAATATGCGGTTCGAGGACCGCTAGTTATCAGGGCTGCAGAAATAGAAAAGGAGCTCAAAGAGGTACATATTTATCAATTGGGGATTAAAATAATCAAAGTTAATTGGTTAGCTATCCTAATCACTGGACTGATAACACTAAGGAAGGTTCTTTATGTTAAACGAAGAACAAAAATAGTGCTTATACCTAAAAATAAATCAGAATGTACAACAGTAGAAAAAAATTGAAATTGAGAAAGGTGTGTCATCCGGTTTCATTACTAACATTTGCTGAATCATTCGGCACATCTGCCCAATTAATTATCAACCAATTAAATTGCTGTTGGACAGTTGCTACCATTTCCGGAACCAATGCTTCCTGAGGGAGGTCCTTGAATTTCAGCCATTGCGAGAAGAGGCACAAGTTATGATCATTTGGCTACACAATCGCGGTCAAACAAATTGCATCACCTATTTCTTTTTATTATTATGTTGATAACTTTGGTTCCATTGAAAGTTTTGTTTACCTTTACTTATTGAGGTTAAAAGAAAATGTTAACAATGTTTCTCAGTTCAGTTTTAACTAATGTAAGGATAAAATCTGTAATTATGAACTTTTCAATAAAATGCCCTTGTCAGAAAATATTAAAATAGTGACGTTACATGAAAAGAAGGAATTTTCCGCGGAAACAGTAAAGAGAATAGAGTACCACCAATCAATGGTAGTCATAGTTTTGAGAAAGAAAAAAAAGACACCACGAGGTGAAAGAAAGGTATTGAGATCAGAATGAACAATTTAATTTGTTTTTAGAATATCGTTTCAAAAGTGGTAAAGAAATATCTGGATATCTTGCAGATAGCAAATAATCTGCTAATCAAATATGGTAAATAAACTCAAAATTTTCATGGGTGATGCAATTTTTATTATTGCGACTGAAAGAAAGAAAAAAAAACACTGATATCTTATCAAGAAATCTTAACGTTCAATTATTTTTTACAGTACTATCATGATTGTATTAAGAAGCGAAAATACGGGATTAAATATTAAATTACCAGTAATTTTTTCGCTGGCATTCAAAATATTTTAT